CTGCGGAGGGAGAGGAAAGGATTGCGTGTAGGTCGATAAAATTGCAATAGTAATCAGAGAAAAATAAAGGCGATGCATAATAACAACAATTACAATACAACAGCAATAGTGATAATGATAATTATTATTGTTATTATTATTATTATTATCATTATCATTATCATTATCATCATCATCATCATCATATCATCATCATCATCATCATCATCATCATTATAAACAATAATTAGCAGTAGTAGTGTACTAGTAGTAATAATAGCAGTTCGGTAATTGTGGTAGTACCATTATCATCATGATCATTATTATCTTTATTAGTATCATCGTCATCCTTACCATCATAATTATCCTTATTACTTCATTCTTACTAAATCACCATCCAAGGGTGACCATTCCAAAAGCCTTTACAGTTTCATTATACATTTTGCAAGCTTATCTACGATTAAATGATTATCACACCATATCATTATGCTGTGAGAGATCCTGCAGTTTGCAACGTAGTCATTACCCTGGGCCACTTATTTCTAATTATCCGTTGCAATGAGTGTGAAGCCTGGCCATAATCATGATAAAAGAGTGTATATTGATAATGATTATAATTTTATGGTTCAGTAAAAAGAGGGCAATCTCTCTTTTTTTTTTCTTTCTCTCTCTCTCTCTCTCCTCCTCCTCTCTCTCTCTTTCTCTCTCTCTCTCTCTCTCTCTCTCTCTCTCTCTCTCTCTCTCTCTCTCTCTCTCTCTCTCTCTCTCTCTCTCTCTCTTTCTCTCTCTCTCTCTTTCTCTCTCTCTCTCCCTCCCTCCCTCCCTCTCCCTATCTCTCTCCTCTCCCTCTCCCTCTCCCTCTCCCTCTCTCTCTCTCTATCTCTCTCTTTATCTATCTATCTATTTCTCTCTCTATTTCTCTCTCTCTCTCTCTCTCTCTCTCTCTCTCTCTCTCTCTCTCTCTCTCTCTCTCTCTCTCTCTCTCTCTCTCTCTCCCTCCCACCTAATGCAAAATAAAACAGATATAACAAAGACTGAATAATAGATAAAAAGGCTATTCTAATCCGCACAATTAACAATACCGATCCACCTCGTTCATTGATATTAGTTTCGGATATAAAATGCATTAAAAGCTCTTGCATAACTTGATTCACATGTGTTATCAATCTTTGCAATACAAGATAGGCCTTTGAAAGGATTAAAAATATATGAAATGGCAACCCTTCATTAATCCGGGTATTTACAGATCCCGGATGTACTGTATGGCTGGGTGCTGGATGAGGGTGGGATAGAGAGAGAGAGAAAGTGAGAGAGAGAGAGAGAGAGAGAGAGAGAGAGAGAGAGAGAGAGAGAGAGAGAGAGAGAGAGAGAGAGAGAGAGAGAGAGAGAGAGAGAGAGAGATGGAGAATGGAAAAGAGAAAAGGAATACACAAGCAACAATATATGAAGAGAGAGAAAGGGAGAAATAGAGAGAGAGAGAGAGAGAGAGAGAGAGAGAGAGATAAACAGGTAGAAGGAAGATAGAGAATTAGGAGAAGATAGACAAAAAAGAGAGAGAGGAAGACAAAAAATAAAATTAGGAAGAAAGAAAGAGAGAAAGAAACAAGCTGCGAGAGAGAGAGGGGGGGGAGAGAGAGAGAGAGAGAGGGGGGGGGAGAACGAGAGTAAGAAAGAAAGAGAAAGAAAGAGAGAGAGTGAACCTGGTTATAATCACCGGCGATACTCTTCGAGTGATAAAAAATATATATTTCTTCCCAACAGAAGAAATCTCTTGGTTTAAAAGAACCGAGAGGGAAGTGATTTATATCATAGGCTATAAGGCTGTGTGATAAGGGCGCCCATATCATAAAATATATTACATTAATCTATTTTGAATTATATATTTTCGATTTGATTTCTAAATAAAAAAGAATAATGGTGATAGAAATCCCAAGAACGTAGTACTAACATTATCAACAACAACAATAATATTAACAACAAACCAATCCTAAACACAGACAAAACAAAACAAAGACAAAATCCGCATAACAGGTCTTCAACACCTAGTAATTCGACACCCATTTATAACACAGAGCATGGTAATTATAACAACTGGTTTGATAGATAATTACGCTTTACAGCTCACACAATATCAACACACGATACGCAGATGTGTAGTGCACATCCTCAAGATATTCTCTATACAACATATCCTATGATGTTAGTGTTCGTTGTATCCTTGGAATTTACTGATAATTACGTTCTCTGGCTGTTTAGTTTGACGTCATTCGCACTAGTGTAATGCCTGTTCTAATAGGTACACTGCTTGGGTAAACTTCATAAAGGCTTTGGTTAGTGTGATAATCAAGATGCATATAGACACAGCATTACTGAACGTCTCAAACGGAACACACAGACCGAGATGTAGTTAGATGCATTTCTGAACTCCATTTCCCCCGTGACAAGTCCACTTCTTAATTCCATTTCCCTCTTGGCCTGAGTAGAAGAGGGACGATTTCTTTGTTTTATTTTTTATTCTTTACTCAGTTAATAACTTGTATACCCGACACGTCATTTCTTTAGGCTCTGAGCAATACGGCTGCTGCATTTAATCCTTCAGACAAACAATACACATTCACATACAAACACAAATACACGCGCCTTCATATACAAACAACACACAAACAAATACGAATACAAACAATACACATGACACAAACGCATACACATTCAAACACAACAAACAAAAACATACACATACACATGTAAACAATACACAATAAACAACCAATACCCATACAGATACAAATACAATCATTACAAACACAGAATTACCGACTAATTGATCATTATATTGCCTTCTTGCTACTGTTATATATCTTCTCTTCCTTTGTATCTTTTATCACACGTCTCTTCGTAATTTGTTATGGTTGTTACTTGTTATCATTACCGTTATTATTACTATTCTCATCATACTCATCTTTATAATCAGTATCATTAGCATTAGTATTATTATCATTAGTAATTGTAGTAGTAATAGTGCGTGTGTGTAGCATTAAGAGTACTTTTATTAGCATCATGATCATTTTCATTATAATTATTATTATCATTATTATTATCGTTATTATCATTATAATGATGATGATGATCATGATGATCTCCCTTTCCTCTCTCTCTCCCTTTTCTCTCTTTCTCCCTTTACTCTCTCCCTTTACTCTCTTCGCCTTGCCTCTTATTCTCCTTCCATCTCCCGTTCGTTCATTCCCTTCACCTCTCATCCACATTCTTTTCGCTTCTTTTTATTCCCCTCTCTTCATTGTTCTTCCTTCCCTCTTCGTCGTCCAACTTCTCACCCCTCTTTCGCCGCCTCTCTTCCACTTCTTCCCCTCTCATTCACTCCCTTCCTTCCTTCCTTCTTTCTTGTCCTCTCCCTCCTCCTCCTCCTCCTCCTCCTCCTCTTTCTTTCGGCTTTCATTCCCTTCTTCCTCCCTCTCATCTAATCTCTTCCTTCCTTCTTTCTTGCCCTTTCTCTCATCCCCCTCTTCTTTCTTTCGCCTCTCCCCCGACCTCAACCGCCCCCCCCCCCCCCAGCCCCAACCCCGCTGTCACCTGCGCACGGCTGCGGTTATTATGAAAATTTAACACTGTGCAGAGCTATCTTGTGTCTTCCTCTTGTCTCTCGCCTTCTTTCCTCCTCGCCTCTCCTTTCCCTTCTCCTCCCCTCCCCTTCCTCCTCCTTCCCTCCTCCCTCCTCCTCCCATGCCCTCCTATCCCTCCCCTTCCTCACCCTTCCCTCCTCCCTCCTTCCCCTCCCCTTTCTTCCACTATCCCCTCCCTCCTCCCTTCTCCCACTCCCCTTCCCTCCACTATCCCCTCCCTCCTCTCCCTTCCCTCTTACCCTCCCTCTCCTACCTTTCTCCCTCCTCCCCTTCCTCCTCTTCCTCCCCCACTTTCTTCCCTCCTTTCCTCCCACTCATCTTCCTTCGCCCTCTCTTCTCTCTTCCTCCTCTTCTCTACTGTTTCCCTCTTGCGATCTTCATCTTCCACTCATCCTAGTCCCCTTCTTCTTATCTGTTCTCTCTTCTTCCTTCTTCTCCCTCTCCTGCCTCCCTCCTTTTCCCTCTTTTCCCCTTCCGCCCTCTTTCCTTCCCCTCGGTTATCTCATTCAGACAAGAATTTCCCTCGATTTTCCCATGGGCGAGGGAGGCCTAAGGGAAAAATGAATTGTCTTTTTGTTCATATGGATTTTTTTGGGGGTGGGGGAGGGAGGGGGATACTGGCTCGGATGTGAGGGAGTGCGTGTGTGTGTCTGTTTGTCTGTCTGTATCTCTCTCTCTCTCTCTCTCTCTCTCTTTCTCTCTCTTTCTCTCTCTCTCTCTCTCTCTCTCTCTCTCTCTCTCTCTCTCTCTCTCTCTCTCTCTCCGTGTGTGTGTGTGTGTGTCTGTCTGTCTTCCTCCTCCTACCCTCTATTTCTCTCTTTAATAAAAATTGTGTGTGTAGTATGTATTTGCAGATATACTTGCACTTGTACGTATACATGTATGTATAAATACCTCTATGTTCATCTTCACTTACCTGTACGTATTCGCGTACGCACACGAAACTCACGCTCACATTCCCCTAAACCCGATCGACAGATTCTCAAATGCTCCGAACGAGAAACTGTCTTCTCTTTCTACGTCTCCCCTTCCTCTTTCCCCTTTCCCTCACCCCTTGCCCTTCCCCCTTCCCCTTCCCATAATCTCCCTCCCCCCTGCTCCCCCCTCCCCCCCTTTCCACTTCCCCCAGGTCAAACAAGTCACAGGTCGGCCAGCGACAGTATCATTTTTAAATCTGGTCTCTGCTGGGGACATCTATTTTCGACCGCCGTGTTCGAAATCTTTTCTTTTCGGCTTTAGTTAAGTTATCTGTATTCACAATTTTTATCCTTAATTTTTTCGCACGTATTATCGTTCTGTATCTGTAATTTTTTAACGGTATTAAATTGATATCAGTATTAATAATGATAACGTTTAAAAAAGCAAACTAATTCAAGAAAAGTG